TTTCCCGAAAAAGGCAGTAAGAGCATTTTCAACATGAGTGCACGCATCAAACTGTGAAGATAGTGAACGTTTTTACTGTTGACGATCTTATTGCTACATGAAACAGAGTAAAAAGCACGAATAATCCCGCCGCGAGCAATTGTTTTTGATTATAATTAGAATTTTCTTTTCCCCTCTCATTCCTCTCATGCAAATTGAATGCTAACACACAATTTTTGTGTTACCGTTTATCGAAATGACATTTTGCCGTAAAATTACAGTGTTATAAATTGCATTATCGTTGAGGAAATATTCGGAATATATACATTTCTACTGTGTTCGTTACGTGAAGAATGTTTGACCACAAAAATATGTGTTGCAAATTTATTTGGTGTAGCGTCGAGAAAAGTTACGATTTTAGTTTAAAAGAATGGAGGGCTGAGGTGCAAGTTGTTGTGAGGCCTGAGTTTTTTGTGGAAATTTCGAACTACGTTGGGATTTGAACGGTTTGGAGATCTTGAATATCTTCCAAAATCCCAAAGGGCCAGTTCAAAATCGCTGATGTAACGCGCGTTCGGGGTGCTTACTGAGAACTATATGCGCCAGAGAAATCTCTTGTCAGAATTTGTAAGAGTGGGGAAGGGCATGCTGCCTTATTCGCTACTTCGCATGTTCTTTTGGATCCGTTCATTCAGCTTTGCATAATCCGAAAGTGCGGTTCTCGCCCATCGTTCATTCGGAATGAGCATTTGGCGCATGTTTCGATAAAATAATTTTTAGATCCGAAGAAAAGTCGTAAAGACCTTCGTCAAATCTGACTGATTGAAGCTGGTTCCAGCGAATTCTTGATGTCGCCGGTGCCAGGAACCGGTCACGCAATCCAGCCCCTTGCTGCATTTCAGCAGCATGAAATCTTTTCCGGGGCGATAAAAAATGAAAAATTTTGTTGGTCTGTGGGAAAAGCACTTACGAGAGGGAATAAAGATGCGATGAGTTACAACGTTGATTGAAAAAAAAAAAAAAAAACAACAGCCGCACCGTATTCATGGAGGGACGGGGCAGCCTCGTTTCTTGTGTGCTTGTCCGTCCTTCCCTCCTCGTCAGCCCCCTCTCCTCCTTCCCGGCTCCTCCTCTTCTTTCTCAATCATTTATTTGAACTGAATGAATCACTTCGCTAACATCTGAAATCATCCGAAGTACTCACTCCCTCGCGGTGAGAGGGAGAAGCAGAAAGTGAAGGAACACTTCGCACAACTACTTCACATCCCGAAATTCTTCCAGCCAGCCAGTGGCTCCTTCCATTGCCTGCAATTCAACGCGTGTTTGCTTGCGCTATTGATGCAAATCCATTGGTTTTCGTCACGCTGCCTTTGTGCGCTGATTCTTAGTAGTTTCACTTCTCAGCTTATCTCTGAAAATTTCGGGCGAACAGCCCCTTTCAGCCACCTGTTGAAGGGATT